ATATTATGTTAACATGTGATGATCGGCATAATTTTGGCCAAACAAACTGGCCGGATAATTTTGATCGCCCTCTGTAAGCCGATTTTAGACTAAAGATTAATCGCAATTATTTTAATTATGATTTGACATGTTTCTAATTATAGCAATATTTTTGTGTTGAAAGATTGCTGAGAGCCAGATGTACAAAATTGTTCTAGAAATCGGCATATGAAGAATTGAAAAATATATTCATACGAAATTTATTACATTATTTTCTAAATATATCCTATTATTTCGAAATCATGGCCTGGCAGAATTTGAATTAGTTTTTGGTCAATAACTAAATCGTATAACAAGCAATAAATAAGCAACTTTGAATCCAGATAGACGGGAATACTCTGTTTTTAAGTTCGAATTTAATAAATAATGAATGAAAACTCTATACCATGATATTTATAACCTAAAATGTTTGTTCATCTATAATCTATCATTATTCGCAAGCATGCATTTTATTAAATTTTTTATGAGTTTGCTATTTATCACCTGTGGTGATCATCACCGGCGTTACTCAACAAAAGTAATTAAAGTTTTAATTAACACACGTGACCGGTGACATTTAAGTGGAGTGAAACAAATTTTTATCATTATAAAATTTCCTTTTAAAATATCCATGCAATATAAACATATTCCCAAGTTTTTCCAACACCACATGATATGCACAATTTTTCAGTATTGCCCAAAGTTTATAAGTAAATTTACACTCCCACGTGATTGGTAACATATATAAACTTTGGTGTTAAATGATGATCGCCACCGGTGATACGAAGTAACTTTCTTTTTTATATAACAAATATAAGAATCATTTAAGAAAAAGCAAAATAAATTCTTTTTTCATATGGAACTTACGTGATAAACGCATCATTGGAAATAAAAAGACTTATGGCACTTGAAATTATATTATTGCTTTACTTACTGCTGCTCCAGTCAAGTAAATAGAGATATATTTCTCGGGCCTTTTGGTAATCTTAGTTATCCTCCTTTTATGAGTCATCAATTGCGTGGAAGTATTAATGGTATTATGTGCACAAGTAATTTCCGGCAGTTCCTTAATGAAAACAGAAAAACGATAAAAATGCTGAGATGTAATTGATTTGGATTTTGGGTAAGAAGAATCTTTTGACCTTGGTATAGGCAATGATTGTTGCGAGAGATAGAAAGTTTGGTAACATGTGTTAGAAAAGTGAACATGTTTCATTATTCTTAATCGAAAAGCGAATCTTGACGAGTAGATCCAATATGGAGTATAAGTGAAATCTTTGTCTCATCATAACCGACCCACTATCCTTTCTGCTCTATTATAGGAATTTAAAGTAGATATATTTATGATTTCAAATGTCAAGCTTGAGTTCAAAATCTTAGGTAGGTATAATAACTGCAAATTATTAGCGAATCAGGGAACTGAACACTGCAACAAATACAATGTTTTAAGACAGTACCGGCTAAATTCTGGTTGATAAAACTATCTTTCAACTCCAAAATCAAAATTATTTCTTAGACTAGGAACATCGAATCTTCCCGAAATGACCGAATTAGGATGTTTTGCTTTTAACCATTAACTTCATGTTACGGATCATATGATTTTCCAGGTTATACCACGATTGCCCGAAAGCTAATTTTCCGAATATACCTTTTCCCGAAGTCATATTTCCCGAACGACAATTTCTCGAACTGAACCTTTTACCGAAATATCCAATTACCCGAACGCCAATTTCCTGAAACCTAATTTCCCGAATTGCATGAAACATCCATTTTACCGAACATCCAATTTCCCGAATT